TGTGAACCTGACTGCATCATTTATTGCTCAGTTGGGGCAACAAACAACTTTCGATATGGAAGTACACAATGAACGAGTAATGTAGTGGATTTTAGCTGAACAGGTGTCAATTGTAAAGCGATTATGATGGCTGTTTGGACCATGAAATGAATTAAGTTGAATGGAGTTATACTGATACCTGGATAAATCTGAATTATTAGGTGATTGACCAAACGAATTTAATTGAAACTCCGCGCGGATCGGTTTTCATTTTCGAATTGCTCTTTTTCGCTACCTTTAGTACACACGATCGACGATCTGTGGTTCTGTTTCACTGTTAAAATATTTTCCCGATGCCTCAATGAGTATCCATAACGAATTCACCTTGTTCAAATGGTCTTTCTTTGTCAAGCTGAATGAACATTTATGCACCCTGGGATCTTCAATCTGCATGTGTTCTATAGCCTAAATTTTGGGTACATTTTTGCCGTAGCTTGTTTTGTTCATCTCAACAGGAATTGACGGGAACCTCACAAACCTTATTCACATCTCAAGTCTATTTTGCTATCTGATTTGAACGGACTATAGTTCACCTTCAAGCGCAATCCTCTGTTCATCGATTCAACAAGCACGAATTGGTAATGGGTCCAGTCAAGGTATGAACTGATTGCCACAATCGTAACGCATACGCTTTCCAAACGGTGGGTTCTGAGTTCAACTCCCGGATGGGACGGTGGATATGCACTACGGATGAGCTCTAATAAAAGCGAAACTTGAGTCTAGTATTTCTTAATGTATACTTGACTGAAAGACTTGAGGATTGTGCGTGAACATGAGATCCGAAGAATTGTCCGTTCAAATCGAACTTTTTTAAATTCTCCATTTCATCTTCAGCATTCAATTTCCTTTAGTTGTGACCATCGCATTCCGCCATGAGTAAAGCTCGAAACAGATCCTGAAACTACATTAAAACAGGTCACTGGAAATTGAGAAGGCTCAGTTCATTTGTAACACAAACGCATGCGAGTCTGTTTCGCGGTTCCTGGGGGATTGTAGCATTTTGCTAGAGTTGAGTGGATGCGGAAATTATGGTGGATGTTGCAAAGTGAGCATCAGTATCGGTCACTCTTAGTTAACAATGTTGGACAAATCGATGTGGCAGTTTCTCACACACAACCTCTTCGGTTTCACTGCGAATCCCCTCGACATTAAGTTTTGTATGAGTAGAGTATGGTTCTGCTCACGTCAACAACTGGGTCGCTGCTAGGATAACCGTTTCCCGAAGAATTGGAAATTGAGTTCATACAGTGGCTTAAACAAACTCTTTCCTCTGAGCGGGCATATGAGGCAAAAAAAACACCTTTTGGGAGTGGGAATTTGTTTTGTGACTAACACTCGTGCAGCACATACATTGCGTATCTTGAGAACGATGGGTAGACATATTTATCTTTTCTTTATATTTAATTTTACTTCTTTTTATTGAACACACAATGATTTTCAGGAAGGAGGAAGCTGCCAATCAAAGGGCTGCTATGGGGAAAGTCAGGCGGTATTAGTGGGGTTCGAACACACGTCCCCCGAGGTGATAATTTTATGTTACCACCGGGCCACCACCGCCCTTTTTCATATCCCATTATTTTGACCGTAACCTTACCTTGCAGTCAAGTGGGTTGAGACCGGTTGCTGTGGTAACCATCCAGTTTGTATGAGGTGCTCTTTACATTTGCAAACAAGTTATCGGAGCGCCCGCTATTCATGGCAGCTTTAGAGTGTGTTGGGAAACCAAAGTGATTTTTGCTCGGACTTCCAGAAAATGACCTCCAATTTACTGATCAGTATTGAATATCGAACTAGATTTGACTAGGCTTAAAGAATTGAGAGTGGTTTGCTCCCGAAGACGGTCGATGAACGGTATCATAAAACACTGAGGCCATTTATTTTTTGACGTCAAATCTATTCCGTGTCTGATACTGTGATCCAATAACTGTTCCAACTGATTTTTATTTCACCTTCAGTGATGGTAAAATCTCCTTTTCGAAAAACTGATTTTATCCCAATGCCTCAATAAAATTCCAAACATTAAACGAGTGTAGGGAGTTTGCATGATTCGTGTGAACTCTGTTCCAAAGGTTTTTCAAGG